TTAGCACCTCTAGTAATATATTTACTGAGAAAAATGGTGACGTGTTCAATACTTATTTTACCCGCTGTATGTCAAGGGTAAAAAAGCAGATGTGGCAGTGGAAGGTGTCAAAGCAGTTTGGAGAGAAAAACAAGGCAAAAAAACAACAAAAAAGACTAATCGACTATTAAATTATTCAACGACTAGTTGACTAATCATGGCAGCCCTAAACCCAAGTCAAGATGGCTGCCAAAGCCAATAAACTTTATCCATCTATTCATCTTCAACTGGTTATCCATTGTCAGACACATAATCCCTCCAGAAAGTCCCCCAGGACCTCCTACCAGTGGGACGAGCCCAGAACACCTCTAAAATGAGGCATCCTAATCAGATGTGTAGAAGCAGCGGCTCTACTCTGAACCTCCATGGATGATGGAGCTCCTCCCCCTGTCTCTAAACCTGAGCCAGGCCACTGTACAAAGGAAGCAAATTTCGGCTGCTTGAATCTAGGATCTTGTTCTTTCGGTCATAATCCACGCCTCATGACCATAGTTGAGGGTTGGAACGTAGACAGACCAGTAAATCTAGAGCAGAGGTGCCCAAAGTGGGGCCTGCGGGCCAAAGTTGGCCCACCAAGCCATTTGATTTGGCCCGCCAGCAGTTGTCCTGGTTATAAGATTGTAATCTCCTGTCTTATGTAGAAACACTWTATTTCCACTTAGCCTTTTCAACCATTGGTCCAATAGGTACAAGGAGCTGAAGTCAGTCTTATCTCACTTTATCTTTGAATTATGTTAACAATAAACATAAAATACAGTAACCACAAGAGACATTTAGATTAGATTTAAGCACACATCTAGATTTGTACACCTTATAAGACAGCATATACTCAAATTTTAAATTATGAAAAGTCATGAGAGCCTTTGCTGCCCATGCATATGCTGAATTTTCTCCATGTCCATGTGCTAAAAAAAGAATGTGGGCAACTGCACTGGCTGCTGGCTTATTCATAAAAATAAAACTATTTTACTTAAGAAGTATTTACATTTCATGTATTATATATATTACTGCATTTGGCCCACAGCCCTCAAATTGATTTTAATTTTGGCCCTCTCAGGGAAAATGGTTTTTAATTTTGGCACTTTCAAGGAAAATGTTTGTGCACCCCTGATCTAGAGCTTTGCCTCTCAACTCTTCACCACAGCTGACCAAAGCAACATCCTCATTACTGAGAACGAGGTCCCAGTTCATCGATCCCGCTCCATCCGGCCATCACGTGTGAACAAGGCACCCACTCCACTTGAGGCAAGCTAATCAGCATTAGCCAACAAAAACAATGTCTGCAACTTTACAGATATTAAGCTCACATTTAGTAGCTGAGACTGATCTTTAACACAAGATCTTGCAATTCCACATAAGATCMCATAAAACATTCTGAAATCTGTCCAAAAATGTTATAGCTGTTATTTCTCAACAAAAGATCCAGCATGAAAGGTAACGGGTGATTGTCGAGTTATTTTTGCCTAAACTCAACAAGACATTGGCACCAACAGGGGAYGCTGGACAACTCCACTCTTTTAGTCTTTTTGTTTTATTTTCTTTGATTGCTCGATGAGTCATAGGTTTGAACCTTGAACAATAAACAAGTTTACATAAATGAAATGCAAGTCATTGTTTGAGTCAACAAACTGAATAGCCTTGATAGAAAATTATTAAACACTTAAATTAACTTAAGATTTAACTGCATATTTTAAATTCATCTTAATGTGACAAATAGCTATGCACAAAATCTCGTCAAAGGAGAAAGATGTAAAACTAAACAAATTCACATTTCTCCTGTTAATTTACAAAAAGATGATTAAACCATACATACCAAAAGCATCTCTRGTTTCCAAACACTGAGCAGCAAATTCAGGCAAACAAAGGCAAACAGCTGCTGGCACTAAATAAACCTCTCTCTATACCTGAAATCCAGGTGACCACACCTATCGCTTGTGGCACTACACTGCCATCTTGTGTCCAACTAATGTAACTACTAAATTAAATCAAACTGAATCACTGAAAACACTGAATGAAAACAGTTATTTTTATGCAACATTACAGTGATATGCTCCTTCAAGCAACAATAGGCCTTTTATTTCTTATATAACTTACAAAGACTGAAGGAAAAGCTCAATCTTTTATTAAAGATTCCATATTTTCCTAACAGAGCACTTTGCTGTCAAGCTGCAGGTTTACTTAAGGTTCCTAGAGTTTTTAAARGTASAMTGGGAGACAGAGCTTCCAGTTATCGGGCTCCTTTCTTGTCTGTGAGSCTGACACTCTGGCTATTTTTAAGACGACTGAAGACTTTGCTTTCTTGATAAATCCTACAGTCAGGCTTAGGTTTCCTGAGTTATCCTTTAGTTCTGCTGCTATAGGCTTAGACTGCAGGAGCACAAGCTGACCACATTTTCTCACTCTGCGGCTGTCTTTTCTGCCCGTCCTGAGCCTGGTCCTGCTGGAGGTTTCTTCCTGTTAAAAGAGAGTTTTTCCTCTCCACCRCTGCCAATGTGCTTCTCAGGATGGGAGATTGCGATGAAGTGAAGATTCAACCCATCTTCCTTGTATTGATGATTTTGCGTCTGTGTGTGTATATACAGTGACCTAAGACGACGTTTGATGTGGCTTGGCAGAATAAACTGAACTGAAAACTGTCAGTGTCACTAAATTACACTCTAAAAATGAAATGTTGGATTTACTTAACCATGTTATGTGACCTGGTTCCACTTAACTGAGATGAGTAAATTCAAAGCAACATACTCATGTTCTTTGGTTAAAAAACTGGTATATTGCTTTGAATTTACTCAACTCAGTTAAGTGGAACCAGGTCACATAACATGGTTAAGTAAATCCAACATTTCATTTTTACAGTGTATGTTACATGCAAATTATGTTGTAAAACTGTGACAGTCAAACTAAATCCTGCAGCCTTGAGGCATAACTTACATGAAATAAAAACCCATCTCCCAGATTTAACTGAAGGGCTTATTTTGAACTCTACATTTCCAAGAATAGGTCCAAGATGTGTCCGAGAACAGATCAATAGTGAATCATTGGACAGATGGTTCCAGTTCTCCCTGATATGAAACTTGATGAAACAGACTTTTAGGGGGTTCTTCTCCCTGGAATCAATCCTGGGGGTCTTGATTGCACACATCTCATAAATCTCAGCTGAGGACAACACCTACAGAGCCCTGATCTCCACATGCACTGCGTGTACATTGATGTAATCGCCAACAAATTATGTAACAACAGGAGGGAGAAAGAAAGAAATAAAATTTAAAAAAAAAAAAAAAACCTGAAGTAGCTCTTCAAGCTTGAGCCCAAAGTTGTCTCCCAGCAGAACCCGGCTGCTGCGTTCAGTCTGGGTTACTTACGTGTATTGCTGGGGGAACGTGAGACCCTCCGCTCCAGGCCACGACGCGCTGAAAATCAGGAGGGTTTGGAGCGAWATGAGGCTGAAGAGGCTGCGAGATCTTTTTCCTTTCGCCATTTTCCATAAAAGAAAAAAAACAATCTTCTCTGTGGCTTTTCTGTGAATGAAGCGCTCCCGCGTGTCTCCCGGTTTTTTATTTATTTATTTTTTATTAATATTATTATTCTTAAATATTATTATTCTGCAGAGAAGG